GCCCCTCCCCAGGTTCCAGGATCCCTAGGTCGCGCTTTCTGTCTCCGCCTCAACCTCCTCCCCCGCAGGACAAAATGCCTCTTCTCTCCCCCCCTCCGCCGCCCTCCTGGAGATTGGTGAATTCCCACCAAAATAAATCGTTCCGGGTAATCGGTTTTCATAGCACATTCATTCTATTAAAGAGGACTGTTTGGGACTCGCTAATTGCCCGGGGATCCCACTGAGCTGCACATTTTAAAAAATGCACGCGGGATTCCTGGGTCGAGGCCACAAAATGCATTGGAGAAGGTGTATGCGTGTGTGTGGGGGGGGGGGGACATCAACAAAAAAAACCCGACGGAGGCGAAAGTGAGGGGCCAGCCTGCCCTTCGCGCGGCGCTTCCCAGAGTGACAACGGCCTTTCAGACTGGATCGCTCTAAAAATGCGTCTTTATGGGGCGTGGGGGTGGGGAGTCTTAAAACCCACACCCCGCTCCCTCTGCCGCCGAACCCCCTCTGACAATCAGCGGGCTTTTTCCCGGGGGGGAGGGTACCACCGGTTTAGCCATTCGGATCCGAAGTGCCTGGGCGCTTGGTTGGGAGACGGGGGTGCTCTAGGTGCCCGGTGGATGGGGGATGGAGCGAGGAGAGGCAGGAGGGGCGCGGAGCGGAGGGCGCGAGAATGGAAGCCGAGGCCGGGCCCGGAGCTTTATCTGCTGCGGGCCAGCCCTGCCCTTGCCAGGCGTGAATTACAGCCGGGCCCTCGGCGGCGGCGCGCGGAGACCGGCCGGGGAGCAGCGCCCGGGAGTTCGTGCTGCCGGCGAGATAACAGCGCAGCCTCCGGCGGTGTCAGCTCCAGGAGCGCACCGCCCGGGCAATGCGAAAAGGCCCAGACGAGAATAAACGCCCCCAAACGTGTGCGTTTCCCCCCGCGGGAACCACGCGTCCCGGAGACGCGGAGACATTGGCTGTTTCTTTTGCTCTGACTCCCTTCCCTCGGAACCGGGGCGTCTCTCCCGCAGCCCCGCGGCGGGTCCGTGGAGGAGGTGGTGCTATGCCGAGCGGGGAGTCCACGTGGAGTCGCCTCCGGACCCCTTTCCCCGCTGCAGACACACTCTGGTCGCCCGACACCGCGTGCACGCGCCCAACCCGCCGCGCCGGGCGAGAGCAGACACGAACCCAGACCGAACCTAAAAAAAAAAAAAGATGCCACGGGGTTCGGGCCCGGCTCGGGATGCCTGCGGGCCGGCGGCGGGACTGGGGGCTGCGGGTGCAGGCGGTTCGCTCCCAGGGGGCGGGGGCGCGACTTCAAGGGCCCCTGCGCCCGCTGCCGCCTTTGATCCCGCCGCCGCTGGCGCCTAAAAACAACATCCTCGTCTGCCTATTAGGCGCGCTGAGGGATCGTGACAGATTGTTTATCCCCGCAATTAGCATGCGGCCCTGCTCCGGCCGCCCGGCCCGGCCCGCGACCCGCTTGGCTGCACAGGCCGCGGGAGACGGCCCCTGGCGGGGTTCGAGCCCCCTGCCCCGCCCTAAGTCAGGGGTTCCACACTAGGGACTCCCAGAGCCCCTTAAGCTGTTTTGGCCTATGTGCGTTTTTCTAGGGAGAAAGCTCTGAACTACATCGGATCATCAAAGTGCTTAGGAGCCAAACATTTTGAGATGGGATATGAAGACCAAACCAAGCAAGCTCGCTTTTTTTTTTCTTTTCTTGACCTAAAAAGTCCAGAAACCTCAGTTTCCTCTCCCCTTTTAACCCGCGGGCAGAGTGCGGAGGGGGTGGACGCAGAGGCAACCTAATTGGACCTCTGGGCTGCTAGCAAGGTGCTGGGCCTGCAGCCTTGCTGGGCATCAGTGCGCGCAGCAATAGGGTGGCGTGGTGCCGCCTTCTAGCCTTGCACCCTCAGGCGCACCTCTGTTCCCCCACCTGGAGGAAGGACTCGCTATCACGTTTCCTCCGAAACTGGCCGCTTGGGTGCCCCGCGCCTCCAGCTGGGCCCGACGACGGGAGCTGGAGGCTGCAAGCCCAGCCTGGTGCCTGGGTTGCAGTCTCGGTGTGTAAGAAATCTGGAGAGGCGGCGTAAATTTCCCCGACGCGACTATCCCCGAGCCCGCCCCACGGCCCTAACTTATCTCTGAGCCTGTGGACAGATGCGAGGGGGCCGATCGCCCTGGCGTCCGCAGCCCAGCCCCTCCCGCCAGACCCCGGACGCCGGCCGGGTAATAAAGTTCCCGCTCTAGTCATTCATTTTCCTTAATCGGGACGGCCCTAATCTACCGCTTTTATTGCGCCCAGTTAAAAGTCGAGGGAATTCGCTATCCCTCCGCGCTGGGATAATTACCCCTAAATGGCCGCGGCAGCCCCTGTGTTTCCTGGAGATTAGAACCCCGCAGTCATCAATGGCCGGCCCCGGAGAGCCGCCAATCACGGCCGCTCGCTCTCCGGGAGCCGCGGGCCTGGGCTCCGGGATAAGAGGCCATAAAACGGTGGCGCAGAAATCGGCGGAGCCCTGCCCGGGGTTTGCCTAGATCTGACGCCTCCCCAGGCCCCCAACTCATTTTCCTCTGTTTTCTAACAGCGAGAATAAAATCACGTTTCCTCCGAAACTGGCACAACAAACGCTCTCGCGCCCAGCCCCACGGATCCACGCCAGGAGCCGGCCTCTCTCCAGACCCCCTCCCTGAAGTGCGCCCACCCCCTCCACGACCATCGCCGGCCAGAGATAGCGAGTGTTATTGTTTCTACGGATGCTCTGTTTGAGGTCACGCTAAGGCCAGATCAGGGTTTTGTTGACGTTTCTGTTGGTTTTATTTCAATAAGTTCTATAGCGAAAGGACCCGCTGCTCCTTTCCCCCAGCCGGTGGCCAGGAGAGGTGGCCAGTTTGCAACCCTCCCGGGAGAAGTTCGGAGCGGGAAAAGTACACATCACATATGAAAATGGATGACTGATTCCGGATAATATTGTGTATAGCTATTCGTAACATCCACAGCACCGGGAGCCTGGCTTCTTGAGGCAAACCCCAGTCCAGCGCTCAGAAGGAGACAAAGGCCCACTTTCACGCAGAGGTAACGTTTTGAAGATTGCAGCAGAGAAGGAAAATAAAGGCGCTTTAAAAAGCAAGTCATATTCCGTCTTTCTGGTGGAATACATAACTGCAACTTTTCAAGCTATAAAAGGAATATGTAACCAATGACCTCGACTCAAATGATCGTGGTAGGGAAGAGGGGAGACGGATAGGGGTCGGGACAGAGCAACAGACACAGTAACTGACTGAAGAGAAAGGTAAGAGAAGCGTGGAAGAGAGAAAGGAAAGGGGTAGAGAAAAAAAGGAGGCGTGGGTGAGAGCGGCGATAAGGGAAGGGGAGGAGGGGGGAGGGCAGAAGAGAAGGAACGAGGACAAGGGAAGGGCCCCCCCAGACACCCAGAAAAAATAGAGACCCAAGGGGACCCCGAGAGGGAGAAGCAGCCCGGGGCTAGCGCGGAGGAAAGTTTCTCTCGCACCCCGCCCCTCCCTGCCCTCCGGGGCCCCGCCCTGCCCCGCGCGCCCCGAGGCCCAGAGCGCCCAGGGGCAAGTCCGCAGGAGCTTAGCCCAATGGGTCGCGTCGGGCCCGCCCCCTCGCGCGCTGATTGGCCGCCGCCGCGCTGGCCTCGCCTTATTAACAAGTTCTCTGGGAATCGAGGGTCCGACCAGGAGACAGGATAGGCCCCCGGGTAGCTTCGCCGGGGAGGCGCGCGGCAAAGACCAGAAGCTCGGCAAACGATGGGGCTGTGCG